AAGACCTTGCCTTCATGTTCAAGATTATGCCCCAGCCTTCCCCTTCACCTTGTAAACAAGAAGAGTTGGGGGAAAAGACCTTTATTGAATTTTTCAGTGTTAGGGATTGAACCTAGGGGCTAGCACACTCTAGGCATGTGCTGCTGAACTATAGCCCCAACTCTGGATTGTCTGAGGCAGGGTTTCCCCATGGATCAGGCTGGCCTGGAGCTTGTTATCCTCCAGTCATAACATCCTGAGTTCTGGGATAACAAGCACGAACTGACCAGCCCCTGAAATACAGGTGTCTTAGCTTTGTGGTGGATGTAGAACTTCTTTAGGGCCGGGCCAAGGCCTGTTGAACCAAGTTTTACTTCTCTGTAAAATTTGGGCTTGTGGGGGAAGCTTTTGGCACCATGGCCCCCATGGCAAATATGCAGCTGCCAGTGCCTCAGGGTTTGCCCTGGGGCCTCAGACTCCGCCTCTGCCACTTGACTGTGAGCTTCTGTAGGAGCTCACGTGGATGCCGCCGGAACTTCTGCTGTGTGAAGTAGAAGAGAACAGGGTCCAGTACACTGTTGGCACTGGCAAAGGGCCGGGTTCCTTTGTAGGCAGCTGCAAATGTCTCCAGTACAGGGCAAGAGACACCGGGTGTCGACCGCACCGCCAAGTAAGCTGTCTTGGTGATGTGGAAAGGAAGGAAACTGATGGCGAAGACAGCCGCCACCACCACGGCCATACGGGCTGCCTTGCTGCGCCGCTCTTGGGCCACAAGTCCTACTGGGCCATCCTGGCGGCACAGGCGGCGGGCCATGCAACAGTAGCAGGCCAGTAAGGCTGTGAAGGGCAGCAAGAAGCCGATGACCGTGAGAGCCATGCCATAGGGCAAGTAGCGGGTGGACAGGATGGGTGGGCTCAGGTCATAGCAGACAGTGCGGTTGCGTTGGATGCCCGTGGCAGCAAAGACTGCTGTGGGCAGGCACTGAGCTGTCACGGCCAGCCACACAGCTCCACATACCACCCAGGCAGCACGGCGACCGCCACGCTTGTGCCAGGGGGCCAGCGGGTGGCAGATACCCAGGTAGCGCTGGAAGCTGATGCAGGTGAGGAACAGGATGCTGCCATGTAGGTTGACATAGAAGAGAAAGCGCACGAGGCGGCAGGCCAGGTCTCCGAAGGGCCAGTGGTCCCCTCTGGCGTAGTTATAGATGAGTAGGGGCAGTGAGCAGGCGTACAGCAGGTCTGCCAGTGCCAGGTTCAGGATGTACACAGCCGAGCGCGTCAGGGTCTGACGGGATGCGCAGATCTGAGCGATGACGCAGATGTTCAGCGGCAGGCCCACCACCAGCACCACTGAGTACACTGGGGGTAGCAGCAGTTGCTTGAAATCCTCACGGTAGACACATGTAGTGGGCGGCAAGCCTGGTGTCTGGATGGTGCCATTGTCCCTCTCCATTACTGCCCAACTGCTTTTCCTATGCTTGGAGAATCTGGGGAAGTGAAACACACCCTCTCAGTGCCAAGCTCACCAGCTCACTCGGCACTATGCCTTGAGATATCTGAACAACTAAGTCCTTAACTTTGTCTCCTCTTAAGGCTCATTGCCCCATAAAGATCCATACAGAACTCTTATGGAAATGTGTATTCCAATGAAGCTCAAGCTTGAGAGAAATCAAAGTCATTTCGTTTCTCTAGTATTTCATTTCCTCTCAGTGTTCCTAGTAAACTTCTTCATCTCTCACAACCCCAGTCAATTGTCTCTTCTGTGTGTGTGTGTGGGCGGGGGGGGGGGGGGCAGGATTGGTGGGTTTGAGTTCAAATCACAGCTGTGACCTTGGAGTGGGGATTTACCTCCTCACCTCCCTATTGGAGGAATAAGAATGTTGTCATTAAGTTAGAAGACTTCTGAGATCTCTGTGGGGTAGGACTGTGGCAATGGTATGTACCTGTCTCATGCAGATGGAAGACCTTTTATGAGGAAGTACCAGGTTTGGTGTTTCTCCACGTCCTCTGTTCCTCCACGTTTCTCTGGTGGCTCTTAGTTTACCCCTGTGGACAGTGCACACACTGAGAGCTCACCGAGGAAAACGCCAATGACGCCAGCCTGAATGCCACCTTCAAAACCCATGTTCTTTCAGTCACAGCTCATCTGTAAAACAGGAGAGGTGACTCAGGTGATCCGGGAAACTTCCTTCCAGTCGACTTTAGTGGGTGGGAGTGGAGTGTGGGGCAGAGGCTACAGCAGCTTGGGTCTAGCACCCAAGCCAGGAGGCCCACAGTCTGTAACTCCAGCTTCAAAGGAGCCAGTACCTCTGGTATTTGCGCACACATGAATGAACATTCCCAAGCATACATGCAGATGAAGAGCACTGCTCTTATAGGGGATCCCGGTTCAACTCCCGACACCCACATTACAGCTCATAACTGCCTGTAACTCCAGTTCCAGGGGCTCTGACACCCTCACAAAACCATACAAGCAGGCAAAACTCACAAAAGGCATAAAGAACAAGCAGAGGTGGTTCCTGGTGGCCAGAGGGAAGCCCCAGTTCTCAGGGGGAACCAATCGGGAATCACACTGACCAAGCATTAGAGACGTGGAAACTAGATGTAAATGTTATAACTAAATAAAAAGCTTTCCCAGGAGAAATTTATCCTGGCTGGGGACGGTGTTCATCCGTATGGAGTGGCATTTGAATTGCATTTTAATAAATAAAGACTACCTGAAGATCTGAGAGTAAAACAGTCCCACTGGTCAGCCTTACAGACCAGGTCATGGTAACACACACCTGTAATCTCAGTAGCCATAATGACACGCACCCTTAATCTCTGTAGCCACACTAGTTGCCATAGAAACCGGGCAGTGCATGCCTTTAATCCCAGTGGTGCACGCCTTTAATCCTAGCACTAGAGAGGATTATAAAATGGGAGGAAGCCGGGCGGTGGTGGTGCACGCCTTTAATCCCAGCACTTGGGAGGCAGAGGCAGGCGTATCTATGTGAGTTCAAGGCCAGCCTGGTCTACAAGAGCTAGTTCCAGGACAGGAACCAAAAAGCTACAGAGAAACCCTGTTTCAAAAATCAAAAAAAAAAAAAAATGTGAGGAAACAGCTCTCAGATGCAGTCTCCTTCTGAGATTCCTAGAGGAAGGATCGCCATTTCAGACTGAGGCAGAGGTAAGAGCCAGTAGCTGGCTGTTTTGCTTTTCAGATCTTCAGGTTGAACCCCAATTTCTGACCCTGGGCTTTTATTAATTGTGCTTCATTTGGTGCCTAACACCAAATTAGGGCACAAATTTATGAAGAAGCCATTTGCCTGAGGCTTTCTAGCCATGAGCCCAAGCCAGAGCTGGGATTGAAATTTCAGCTCTAGGAATTGGAACCCAAACCTAGCTACCTTGGTTCAAGAGAAAAACTAACGCTCCCAGCTCCCATCTGCCTCAGCTCAGCTTCCATGTAAAGACGGAAAATACACAGAGAGTCTGGACACTGTATATTATTGTGTTGTCTTTGAATTGTTTGACTGCTAAGGAAGGAGCAACAGCTGCTAAAAGACATTTGATTATTAATGTTACTGGATTAATCCAACCTACATATTTTGAAAATGCCTTGACTTCAAAATTTAAGTCAATGGATATGTTACTTTGGAGAAGAGATTTTTCTTTTGTTTCCACAGGAAGTGAGAGGCTGTGGATTCATTCTGGGTTAAGAAAAATAAGGTTTGATCAAGGAAGACCCCCTGAGAAATCTGATGGCCCAGATGACCCGATGGTTCTCAGTGCATTCGGTGCAGTGTCCTGTGTCCCTCCCTTAGCAGGCCGGGGGCTCTCTGACCACACTGCCAGAGAGATTTGGCCTCACATGGATGAAACTGTAGTGGCCTCTTGTTTCTCCAGCCTCGGGGGAGACTGGTCCTTCTAAGACTTCATCCCCTGGGAAGGAGCAAGAGCTGCAGAAGAAGGCCTCTGAATAGGCCTCAGGCACCATCTGCTCCCTGATGACACTGCACTCTGTCTCTGAGGACCAAGAGCTGAGTGTTCCCCTCCTGCAGGGAGTGAAGAGAGGGAGGGATCCTTTGACCCCAACTGTGAGCAGTAACTGGCTTTGGCTATCATATCTGTCATTCATTCTCAGACCCTAAGGCCTAGACTATCTCAGATCACAGCTTTTTTCCGGACTCCAGCTATGCTGCCTGCAATAGGAACCCTTCAAGAGGTTCCTCTGCTCTCGAGGAAACTTGTACAGTCCTCTGGCTTTGTCCTCTCCACACTCTTCTCGTTCCTGCTCTTCCTCAGTCATCACACTGTTCCCAACACTGCATGGCCACTGCAACAGACCTAGCACCATCGCTGGCCTGTCCATCTGTGCTGATCTTTTCACATTGTGCTCCTGGGCCCGTCTCATCTCAGCCCTCCTTCTGAGTTCCCAGCCACGCCTGTCCCACCCGGCACTGGCCCGTTTGCTCACGGCAGACTTACAAGCAGCACCCAGCACCATCTTGGGTCTGTGGTACCAATGTGCTGGGGTGAAGGGTCCTCAGCCACGCTGTAGCACCTCTGGCTTCACTTTGGACAGCTTCCTCTGCTCCCTGACCCTGCTGGCTCTGACTGAAATAGCCCTTGTGTGTGGAGGGCACCTCCCTGCCATTCCCACACCTTAGCCTGGCAGAAACAGCTGAACAAAAGGCATCCATCCCAGAACTCTGTCCAACCATGGGAGGAGGGCACAAAGGGACCCAGCCTCACAGACCCAGCTCTCCCTCAGTGTTCTCATCTGTTAAGTGGGTTATGACAGTTCCCAGTCCTTCCCTTAGCCACCAGGAATCCATTAACTTCTCTGATCCTGTACCCTGTACCCATCCTCCATTTTCCATTCATTTGGTAGGTCATCTACTAACATTCCTGTCCGCACCTCTCTCGAGATGGCAATCCACTGGTAAGGTCCGTCCTTACCCAGCTACTCTCACATTTCCCTTCCCACATGCCCCTTTATTAAGCGCCTACTGTTTGTCATCAACTCCCCCCACATATCCCTGTTAACAGTCACAGCACAAAAACCCAGGCATGAGAGTGGGTGTGGAGACGGGCGCAGAAGAGGCTGTGGAGCTGCTGGGACACCGGGAGGGTGAGAGAGAGGATGAGAGATGGCTCCTCGCGGTTCTTCAGGGAGGGTAGCCTGAAGATGGTTTTCATTGTGGAGCCACTGAGGCAAGTGGGTGTGGGGAGGGCAGTTCAGGGAACGGATCCAAGCTGGGCCTCTGCTCCCACTGCCTCTCTCGGCTGCTGGCTACAATGTGACAGTTGCCACCTGTACGTTGAAATACCGTAGGCAAGGACTCTTGGTACTCTGTCACTTGTAGAAGTGATATCCATGCAGAAGCTTACCCCAAGCCCACCTTACAGGACTGGGGAACCAAGGGAGAGCCAAAATTTTGAACCAAAGTGAGATCAAGGTTGAAGAGCAGGAAAACACTTGGCCAGCTGTGTATAAATTGGGCACCTACCGTTTATTTGGGTGTGTGCCAGGATATCCAAGCAGGCTCGGTAATCTTACCTTCTTCCCAGTAGTTAGCTCCTTGTGGTGTTCCCAGAACAGTCTCCTGTGGCCCAGCGTCGGTCAGGGTTGAGGCAACTTTGAAGACCTAAGGGAAGACGGGGTGCTGGCCCTGGAGCAAAGCATGGGTTAACACTTCTAAATAGCTGTGGCTTCTGCCGGGACTGAGGTGGTTCCTGCAATGAGAGCCTGAAGCCATGAGATGGCGCTAGTGGACAGCTGACGAGGACAAGACTAGTGCCCGTGCTGCAGGGGCCTCCTGTCAGGCCGGCGCTGAGCAAACCCCATTCCTCTGGCCCTCCTCAGATTTCCTCTTATTTACCCACCTCAACAAGCTCAGGCCTCTGTCTGAACCTCACCCTTCAATGCAGCTCACAGCAGCCACTTGCGTGTCCAGCCCGGAGTACCGCTATGATGCCGCATCTTCTGCCCATCTCTACTCCAGGTTCCTGGGCAAACCACCAGCAAAAACACTGCAGCCCTCACCCCACCGAGGGACAACCTCTACTTGCTTTCTTTTCTTAGTCCAGGTCACAACTATGAGGTCGGTTCTGCAGCACCGTCAACGGAGTGCAGACGCCAGGAAGAACTGACTCGGCGCTCTTGGTACCCTTAGATCCCGGAGTCGCAGGACGCCCTTTGACTGATCCTCCGTGTCTGGAGGGGCGAGGAAGCCTGTGGGACAGAGGCAGGAGCTGGAAGCCTGAGTCACCACCTACTAACATTCCCTGCTCTCTCTGGACCTGAGATGAGGCTGCCAAACTTGGACTCCCTGCCTGCTGGGAAGCCACGCTGGGAAACCCCCTTGCTGTATCCCACCCAGCCTTGTGAATTTAGCAGCAAAGGTGCAGGATCAGGTGGGGTTAAGACTTGGCTTCCTTCTTCTGAGTCAGGCTAAGACCCAGCCTGCTGTGTGGCTTAGAGCCCTGCTATCCAACCCCTCTGAGCCTGAGAAACTTAACGGTAGCTGTGTTCCCTTCCTTACAGAGTTACACCCTCTATTCCAGGTACCACCCAGCCCTGACCCTGTGTGGCATCAGCCTGAGTACCCTGGAGCCCACCTCCAGACAGACTGAGGTCGGTTTCTTATGCCAGTCCCTGGTACCTGGGAGACAGTTCTGGTCTCACAAGGCTACAGTTGGCAAAGCCAGAACAAGGCAGCAGGCATCTGCTTTCTCTTCTCTCTTTTTACTTCCCCTTCCCCCTCTGTGGAGCAGGGACCAAGTGGAACTGAAAGCTCATTTTGAGGATGAAGAAGCAGCTGCAGCCTGGGACTGGGGCCCCTTCCTTTGTTTCCTTGTGTAGAAATTCCTCATTCTGGGACCACAGGCTCTGCCATCCCTTCCCATCACTGTGGACCCAGTGACTGCTCAGCCCAGAGGACTGCAGAGCATAGAGCCCCAGGAACCAGGCTTCCGGTGATGGTGGAAGAGAGGGCTCAGGCCTAGCACTTGGCCTCCCCTGCAGGTGGACCTGCAAAAGATCATTTCAGAGCCTTGAGGATGTGGGAACATGACCTGCCCATGTGAGAGGAGTGGGATCCTTGGGCCCCATGACCACCTCAGGGATGGTGTGACTCCCCGCTGGGCACCTGGAAGTCCAGATTGGAGTTCTGACCAATGGTTGAGAAGGAGAGAGGTTTTGTCAGGCTTGCAGAGCTAGGAGGAGTGAGGCTGGAGTTGCCACAGCTGCCTGAACTCTGTGCCAGGCATGATGCTGTGTCCTGGAGCTACAACCACGAGGAGCGGGCTGTCAAAATCCAAGGGTGGCAGAGTAAGGACAGGGAGCACCATGGGACTTCTGGATCCAGCTATGCTGAAGGCTTTAGCCTCCCACTGAACTGTGGTGGTACAAGCCAATCAATTCTTGTTTTGCCTCAGTCCACTAGACCTGGGCTTCTGTCCTTTGATATCAACCATCCAAAACTAGGTGTGGTGATTCAGGCCTGCAATCCTTACACTTCGGAAGTAGAGTCAGGGTTATTAGGAGTTCAAGGTCACCCTCAGCTACCTAGCAAATTAGAAAGAAGAGCTGGAGATGGAGCTGTCAGTAGAGTACTTGCTTAATGTTAGTTCACTAAACCCTGGCTCCAGTTCACAGTGCTCTACAGCACAGGCATGGGGAGATGGGAGCTGGAAGACCCAAAGTCTAAGGTCATCCTCAGCTATGTGAGTTCAAAGCCAGCCTGGCATACATGAAATTTTTATCTCAGAAAAGAAAGAAAGAAAGAAAGAAAGAAAAAAAGGGGCTGGAGAGATAGCTTAGTGGTTAAGAGCTTATACTGTTCTTTCAGAGGATCAAAGTTTGGTTCACAGTCTTCAAATCAAGTGCTCACAAGTGTCTATAATTCTCGGGAGTCTGGCACTCTGACCTCCACAGGCACCCACAATCATCTGCACATACCTATACACATATACATAGTTAAAATGTGTGTGGCCGGGCGGTGCTGGCACAAGCCTTTAATCCCAGCGCTCGGAAGGCACAGGCAGGTGGATCTTTATAAGTTCGAGGCCAGCCTGCTCTACAAGAGCTAGTTTCAAGATAGGCTCCAATGCTGCAGAGAAACCCTGTCGAAGGAAAAAAAAATGTGTATGTGTATTTCTGGACAGGTTTTCTCTGTGCAACAACCCTGGTTGTCCTGGAACTCATTTTGTAGACCAGGATGGCTTCAGACTCACAAAGATTGCCTGCCTCTGCCTCTTTAGTTTTGGGATTAAAGGCGCAAGTCCCCACCACTTTGCTTTAAATATATATTTTTAAATCACCATCTTGACTGTAGTTCTGACCTACAGTAGGGTCTCCACCTCCTCTCACGGAGTTTTGTCCAGAATCCCATCATCTCTGCCTGGGAAACTAGAAGAGGAGGGCAGGTGGGGCAGAGGAACTGTCACCTGGTGGAGCACTGTGGGGCAGAGGAACTGTCGCCTGGTGGAGCACCGTGGGGCAGAGGAACTGTTGCCTGGTGGAGCACCGTGGGGCAGAGGAACTGTTGCCTGGTGGAGCACCGTGGCAGTTCTCAGAGTGACCACGGTCACCTCAGTAGCTTTTGGTGGGACAGCAGAACCCATTTGGGCTCCACTTGCTGTATGTTCTAGAAAGGTCACTTTACATCCTTGGGTCCCCATCGTCCCTGATACTCACTGCTAATTTTGTGACTGTCCAATGGAAGCCAGAACTGGGATAAGGACTCTGGTACCAGGATCTTACATGGGATGGGCTGTGCTGTGCTGGTCCCACTTTGCAGATAAGGAGTCAGGTAGCTGTGGTCTGGATGTGTTGCCCTACAAAACCTTGTGTTAATAGCTTTGTCCCCAGCTGGTAACACTAGACTGGGGCCTGGATGGTGCGGGCATTGACCTTCTCTATGAATTGGCTCTTGCACAGTTCCCGTTGGATGGGTGAGTAGATAGGGACAGGTTGGAGGAAGTGTGTCATGAGGGTGAGATGTTAAAGGACACGCCTTGTTCTCCTTCTCCTCTTCCCCCTCTCTACCTGCTGGCCACCATAGGGGAGCGGCTTTGTTCCACCAAGCCCTTTGCTATAACGTTTCTGCATTGCTGCAGGCCAAGAAAAGGCAAGCTTGGAAACCATGAACCCAAATAAATCCTTAAGTGATTGTTCCTCAGATTTTGTCACAGGGATGACGAGGCTTAGACAAGTTGATGACTTGTCCAAGGTGACAGTGAATCAGTGGCCAACTGGGAGCTGGATGCAGATTTGAGTAATGATAAAGTCTGTGCTGGGAAGAGGGGTGACATTTCCCTACCAGAAACCTGAAGCCAAAGTGGTTAGGAGTTTGTTGTGTACACAATAGACCCCTCGTGGCACCGTTTCCCGGGAATAAGTTAAAACAATGGAGGTTAAGAATCAGGGCCATTGGTCTGGATCAGAAAGACTGACTTCCTCCCTCCCACTTTGTGAGATACTGGACACAAGACCTGTTTTGCTTTTCGGCTTCCAGTTCCCTGGAGATCCTGGATGAGTGAATCCTGCCCATGAATATAAGCCACAGGGCTCTATCCTCGATGCTATTGGGTTCAGTCAATTACCGTGTGTGTGTGTGTGTGTGTGTGTGTGTGTGTGTGTCTGTGCGTGCGCGCGCGCATGCCACGGGTCAGCTTTCTCCTTCCACCATGTGAGACTGAGCTCAGGTTGCTTGGTGGCCATCATCTTTACCCACTGAGCCATCTTAACTGATGACATATTTGCTGGGGGCTAGGGGAATGGCCACAGGAGTTGTACCTCTAAGCCTACCTGATTCCACAGCCTGTTCACACACACTGTCTGTTTATTGCCCATTTCAGAGACAAGACACCGAGGCTTAAAGGTATCTGGTTCCATGCAAGGTTCTATGTGTAAGGCTAGGCCAGAGGGATCCTCAGAGGACCCCTCACTTCTCATGAGAAGCAGAGTCCTGTCTGAGACCTGCTGTAAACATCACTCACGTCTCCTGAAGCCTGATCCCACCTGACAGAGACAAGATGTCCTCTGACCCCAGAACCAGGGGTCAGTGGCAGACTCTGGATTCTGGACTTGCTGGGCCAGACAGGTCTTAAGATCATCTGAGAACCCCTCTTCTCCCCCAAAAGGAGACCCCTGAAGCCTCCCAATGACTTGTCTGGTCCCTGTTTGCATACTCCCCTTGACATGAAGCTCATTTCCCTCCCAGGTTACCATAGGTTATGTTGAGAACGCTCCCTGAGCTATGCTTCTAAGTTAGCAGTTCTCTCCAGCACAGCCTGCCTCCGGGACCTGAGACACCCTGGGGAGGTCGTGCCAAGACCACTTATCAGCAGCTCCTCATTCCCACCACTGGATTCTGAACTCACATCCAGATCCAGGAAACCTAGGCCGCACACTTGGTTGACAGGAAAACTTCAAAACAAATCTTGTGGCCAAGTGTGGTACATACTTGAAGTCCCAGCACCAGAGAGGTAGGCATTTCCTTCTGTCATACAGCTCTAAACCTCTGCTGTGAGCCTTGTGGACCTGGGGCCAACCCATGGAGGTGAAAGAGGGATTTGGAGGTGTTTGAGGCTGGCCCAGGAGGGACATTTGGAGGGTATCAAACCTGACTCAGTGTGAAATGGGGGAGGCTGTACGGTGACTCATGTCACTCAAAGGTCACTGTCCCTGGGAGGTTCTCTTCTGCCATTCTAGCTAAAATTACAACCTACATATGTGTGGGATTTCCCCAATCTGTTATATTTTTATTCTCAGTACCTTTAGACTTTTATTACTACATTTACTTATTTATATATATGATTTTTAATGTCAGACCACAACTCGGAAGAGTCAGTCAGTTCTCTCCTAGTATGTGTGTCTAGGAGACTGACCTTAGGTAGGCCTGGGGGCTAGCTCTGTTACCTGATGTCATCAGCAATTCCTCTTCACCACCTCCTCCTTCCTTCCCTTTCTTCCCCCCTTTCTCTCTTCCTTACTTCCCTTTCTCCCCCCTTCCTTCCTTCCTTCCTTTCTTCCCTTTCTTCTTTCTTTCTTCCCTTTCTTCTT